TTGGAATTTAACCTCCTTTGCCAGTGACTTCTGGATTATCTGTAAGCTAACCGAAACTGCAGGTTGCCCCTAAGAATGGTGTGAGTGTTTTCAGGTGGTAAGGTGATTTTATCACTCAAAGAGAGACGGTCCGCATAAAAATTAAAGCTAATTGAAACCAAAGAACAGAAGAATCTAGCGGCGACTTCGATCTCTTTATTGGTTTATGGGCGGTGGTTACTCTAGTTTTTAAATGTTTTAAATGCTACTTACATGGACAAAGGAAAGATTACTTCAACAACTCCTCTGACTCTCTGTAAGTGGGTTGTAAACCAATTTACTGTAATTTGGCTCCCTACAACTTGACACTTTTATTGCTTGGCTGGGTTGGTCTAAGATCAGATAAGATTGTACAGCTCCCAGCTTGTTTTTACTTGCAAATACCTTAAAGCCTCTAAAGGGAAAATACTAACTGCGGGCAAATATGGTGTCTGTTCAAATTTCAAATGATTCATTACAACTGGATGATTTCAAATGATTACAACTGGACTTTCTTGTTTTTCCTTTTGATGACATTTTGCTTCTCATCAAAGAAGCTTCTTCAGCTCTGACTGGATAGTGGGGAATGGAAGGATTTATATTCCTTGCAGACAGCAGGGGTATCAAACTCATGGCCCATGGGCTGGATGCATCTCACACTGGCCACTCCCATCCCCAATTTAGTGAAGGTGTGGAGTCATGATATGTCACGTGATGACATGAGTTTGACGCTGCTGTTTTAGAGGGTTACTGAAACACTTGGAGATTTTTCTGTGCCCTCAGGGTTACCTGAGTAGTGTTCCTGGTTCTTGTAGTCTGCTATTTTTTCTCTGGTGACCCTGAGGATGCAGAAAAACCTCCAAGTGTTTCAAAGACCCCCCAAAAGGATACAAATGACCAGCTGTCTTCAAGGAATGTAAATCCATTCCCCACTATTCTGTCAGAGCTGAACAAGTTTCTTGAATGAGAAATGAAACTTCTTCAAAAGACAAAACAAGAAAGTCCAGTTGGCTCTTGGAAAAGCACCTTTGGGACAACCATGACCTGGATGATTAAGAATCTCTAAAGACTTGGAGGAAATTACCATATTTTTTGGAGTATAAGATGCACCATTTTTCACAAAACCAGGCCTGTTTTTTGTCAAAAAGGGCATGCATAGCCTTTAGGAGGCTTATAGAGTGCTCCTGGGGGCTTGGGAGGCAAAAATGAGCAAAAAACAGCCCAGTTTTTGCTCATTTTTGCCCTCCCCAGCCCCCAGGAGCACTCTGGAAACCTCCTAAAGGCTATACACAGCCATTTTTGCAAAGGGGGTGGAGTTTCGGGAGGCCAAAAATGCTGTAGTCAGTGTATAAAACGCACCCAGATTTTCATCCTCTTTTTTGAGGGGAAAAAGCTGCATCTTATGGTCTGAAAAATATGGTATATGACAAAGAGCTGTGAAGACAATATTAGTCAATTTCAGCACTACTTGCAATAGCAAAATATGGCAAATCCTCTTTCTGGAAAAGTCTCCATCAAAATTAACAGAAAAAAAGAAGTATCATAACCGAATTCGAAACTTGTTAGACATTACTTTGAGTCTGGCAGGGGGGGAAATTGCCATTCCAGAGATTCCCTTTATGCTTTGATAACTGAATGCTGTTCCTTTCCCCTACAAAGTTGATGAAAAATACAAGCAAAGTCAGAAGTGTCACTCTGAATCAGTTATGGAACATCAAATGGCTGAAAAAAGGAAAAAAATGCAAGCATGTTACATATATTGGCATGGCCCTATCTTTTAGAGATGTGCATTACGAAAGTATGCCAAAATTAAGAGCCAGTTGGATGTAGTGATAAATGCACCAGACAAGAAATGGAAAGATCATGAATTCTAATCTTATCTTAGGTGCACATCTAGCTAGGTGGATTTGGAGTAGTCTTGATCTCCTTTCCCTCACATAATCTCCAAATCTATATATGCCATGTATAAGTAAGAATTCTCAAGTTAAAATATATTTTTCAGATGTATAAAAATATTTTCATGTTCTTCTACAAAATGAGAAGATCTTTTTTAAAAAACCTATAAAAATCTCAACTTTATTTCAACTAGATGGAACCTCATTGATTCTACTTATATTACTGGGCACCTGGGGTGACTCCCCAACTTTGAGTCAGCAATGTTGGAAGAAATGTCCTTCTGGGTTCAGTTCCAAGTGGAGAGAAGGACACTTAAAACAAGATGGTTTTAATAGTGGACAGGATCGCATGCCTTGAAGACGTTGGGTGAAGAAAAAAATGGGGAGAGATGCTGAGATTGCCTGAGCTTTATACCCCCTCTGTGCTTTGAACTTGAGCTTGTATTTTGATTGGTTGTCAGACTCCCATGGGGCCATGCAGGGACAACTCTGTAGGCTGTCCTGAGTCCCAGGCTTGGTTGAACCTTGCTGGGTGATGTAATCTTCCCAGGTGCCATATGGTGAGATGGGTAGAGGGCTAATCCTACCTTTGTTGCATTTTGGGTGAGGGCATCTGCATAGGAATACACCTAGCTATCTCTTTAGTTCTTAAGTGCGGACATCTGATGTGTGGGCTATTGAGGATGATGGGGGCTTTAAGAGTGAGTCTGTTTCCTGCCTAAAAACTGTTTCTCCATTTCTCATCCAGGAAAATATAATATTCTGCCTTTATTATTTCCCAGAATATTTTATTTTTCTAGGAGATGGGTGGGTGCTAACGTCTTAGAATCCCCCCTTTTTGCCAAAATATGTGGGTGGAACACACATGTTCTTGGCAAAAGGTTAAAAATTAATCAGATCAGGGAGACTCAATGGGTGCTTTTAGTTTTTTTGATGCAAAGGGGAAGGCATTGATAAAGGCAGCAGAAGAAGGATTCCTTCAGTGGCTCCCAAAAGAGAGCTTTCAACCATGAAGGTTTAGCACCCCGGACAAAAGTTCTTGAAAGAAATTTACAGTATCCAATTTTCTATGCCAATTAATTTCAGGTGTCAGATATCACTTTCTGGGCGCTTCCAGTCAGGTTTCAAGCAAGCACAAGTCCCAAAATTCTTCAAAGGTATGGTTTTGATTTAAATTACAGGCTGCCCATTTCAAGGGTTGTTTTTGAACTTGCCCTTGCTCCTATTTTGTGACACCAAATAGAAGTTAGCCATTGTGCAATACAGGCTATTTAGATATGTTTTCTGTCCACCTAAATTGATTCCACAAGATCATGAAGTAATTGGCTTAAAGGATTGCTTTTCTTCTATCCTTCTTTGCTCCGCTTTTCAGGAAAAGTTTGACTATACTACTGGTCAGGAAAAGTCTGTCTTCTCTGTACCTGCTGCTTCCCTCCCTCCCCCTCCCCCTCTTCAGGAAGAGTCTGTGCCTGTTTATGGCAAGCGTCAGCAGCCCTTCTATAATATCAGGCAAAAGGCTACTGAACCGTATCCTGGTTTTGTTAACAGATTGCAGGATGCTTTAAAACAACAAATAGATAATTCTGAGGGTCAGATGAAGTTGTTGATGAAATTAGCAAAGGAAAATGCTACTTTTGAATGCTGGAGGGCAATTATTGGTCTTGGGAACGATCCTGATTTGGTAGATATGATTAAAGCGTGTCAAGACATAGAAACAGCCTCTTGTTGAACTAATTTGGGATGTCATAATCCAGGGAGAATTATGTCTGCAACCTCCCACGGTCCTTTCCATCAATGGTCAAAGCTAAAAACAAAATGCCCAAAGTATCAGATCTATGTTGCAGAATTGAATCCTTTTCGTAAGCGTTATCCATTGGCTTTGGTAAATCATTATATGGGTGATATTTTAATTGGATGGTGGATTAAAACTCAAACCAAAGATACAACCTAATTGGCTTTCAGAAATAAAAAAAATTATTTAAGTGTCTATGGATTGCAGATTGCCGTGAAAAAATACAACTGTATGAAATGTTATAACATTTTCTTTCTCCAGTTTTTTTCTTGCTTAAACGTAGTTAAACGTAGGCAGTTGTTGAATTAATAACCTTGGGTTTGTCATAGAAATTGGTCTGGGAAACGAATATACTATCAGCAAATATAAATAGTCTTAACATAACATCAAAAAGAAAACATGTACTGTTGGATTTATTGAAACAAAAGTTAGATGTAATCTGTCTTAAGGAAACCCACATTAAAGAGAAATATAATAACCTGTTGAAATGCCCAAAATTAGGTAAANGGGGGGGGGGCGAGAGGGGAGATGGGAAGAACCAGAAGCAATGGGGAGAAATCCAGCCGCGCTCCTATGTCATCCCAAGTGATCGACCCGACCACCAACTGGGAATAAACGGCAACTCTTCGCGCTTAAGAGGGGAAAGAAAGGTGGACGAGCGCCTCCACCTCGTTTTTTCGAAACGTTAAGCCAGCGCCTCAATCCTGACTTACCCAAAATCTCCTTCCTCCGTTGCGTATGGGGCTGGTCGGTGTAAACCCACTCGAAATCCTCGCGGGCGACCTTGTTTCCCATCCTTACTACTATCGCACTAAGCAAATTGGTCTCCGGTGCTGAACAGAAAAGCGCGCTCCAGCGAGGCACCTTATATCAGCCCAGAGCAGCCTGGAGGCAGACCCCGCCCCACGGAACTTCAGCCACCGAGCTCCCAGGCCCGCCCAGCTAACCTGACTTTGCTAAGTCAGCCCCCACCCCCCTTTGCGTTCAGGGGAGCCGGCGGGGCGCCCTCCTTTGCCGGCTGATCGGAAACCATCCCCCCCACCCCCACTTCCTTAGGCGCAGGTTGGTGAACGTTCATCGTTTAAATCCTGGCCCGCACAAAGCAGGAGGCTGTCGGCTTGGGCTCAGCAATTCTGGAGGAACATTGGGTGGGGGGACCCAAACAAAGATGCTTGTCCCAAAGGTGCTTTTTTTTCAAGAGGCAACTGGACTTTCTGGTTTTACTTTGAAGACGTTTTGCTTCTCCTGGAAGAAGCTTCTTTGGCTCTGGGAAAAAACCACCTTTGGGACAACCATGACCTGGATGACTGAGAAGCTCCATAGACAAGAGGGGGCTTGGTAACTGTGGAGTGAAGTGACTGGGGAGTTAGTAGGAGGTGACCAGGGAGTGAGCAAAAAACAGCTGGGCTGATGGACAACACAAGATTAGATACTCAAAATATGAAGCAATTCCATTCTGATGCAAGAAGAATGCAGAAGTGTGCCACAATTAAAACCACTTCTGCAAAAAAAAATCTTCAGATTAGCATGGTTGTAAATTTTAACAACAATGTTATGAACAGTCCAGAATAGGAGAAAAAATTCATATGGGATCTAGATAGATGATCCTGTACGAATCCTCCTGAGGAAGATGTCAAAGATAACATCAAAGGGGACAGTCATTTATCAGATTGGCTCCGATCAAAGCATGGCGCTCAGCTTCCTGATCCACCACTGGCAGGAGTTGCAGTTAATCAGTTTTCCACCTAAGAATCCATCTAAGAAGCAAAAATGTGAAAACGTAACTTGTTTGGCTTTCTATGGGTTCTTTTGTGGGATCCACCAAAAAGGTAAGTTTGCAGAATTGGCCTTATAAGTATAAATTGTAGGAAATTGTCCCAAGGAAACATTTCAGGAGACAACTGGACTTTTTTATTATTATTATTAATTTTTTTTTATTTTGTTACATAAACAACACATACCCACACTAATGGGGAAAAAAATCAAAACACAAAAAAGACAAAAAACAGAAAACAAGGCAGGGGAAAAAAAAGAACACAGGTATATATTATAAAAAAGTATATCAGCTGGTTACAACATGTTTTTGTGCATCTCTTCCATTAATTCATATTAATTCAAATATCTTAACTCAAATGTTTACCATATTGACATCATCATAGCAGTTAGACTTATATACCGCTTCATAGGGCTTTCAGCCCTCTCTAAGCGGTTTA